CTGGCTGGAGGCGGTGAAACGGGAAGGCTGGGGGCAACTCAGCTGCCATCACACTGACTGGGCAGCCGGCTGGCACTGCCTGCTTTGAGTAACCTCTCCGCTAAAGGCTGGCAAATCCCAAGGGTTTAAAAGCCATAGAACCGCACCCCAAGTTCCATCCCCTGACCTTCTCCCTTCTTCTCCCAGCCTTCGTTTGTTTCCCCCTCCCCTTGACCATGAGCGAGGAAAAAGCGAAATCAGCTCCGTTTGCAATTCATTGATGTTCTTCCTCCCTCCCCACCCCCCGCACCCCCTTTCTGTTTCATGACACCCGCTGCCCCTCAAAGTGGATGACACCATGACGTGGAGAACGGGACCCGGTTTCACCATGCTGCTGGCTCTGTGGCTGATCTGTGTCTCAGAACCCCACATCCATGGGGCGAAGCGCGCGGGCCATCGGGGCCGGAAAGTGTCCTGGGTGTCCCCAGTGGGCAGTCGGCCTGCAAGGCCACTGAGGCACACGGGGAGATCTGCGGGAACGGAGAGATACCCCCGGGAGGAGCTGGGCCTCCAGAGAAGGAGGGGGGTGCCTGTGCTGAAGCTCCTGCCCCACACTGTCCTGCCAGCCCCAGCGGACTTCCGGGGTACCCAGGTGAGGTCCGAGCTGCCACTGACTGGCAGGAGCGTCCCTCGGGAGATGGTCCGGGACGAGGGGTCTTCTCCTCGGCCTAGAATGGAGCGTTTCCTCTCTGGGATCAGCTCCCCCAGCATCCTGGCCAGCTTCGCCGGGAAGAACCGGGTGTGGGTCATCTCGGCCCCCCACGCCTCGGAAGGCTACTACCGCCTCATGATGAGCCTGCTGAAGCGCGACGTGTACTGCGAGCTGGCCGACAGGCACATCCTGCAGATCTTGCTCTTCCACCAGGTGGGCGAGGAGGGCGGCAAGGTGCGCAGGATCACCAACGAGGGCCGGATCCTGGAGCAGCCGCTAGAGCCCAGCCTGATCCCCAAGCTGATGGGCTTCCTGAAGCTGGAGAAGGGGAAGTTCGGCATGGTGCTCTTGAAGAAGACGCTGCAGGTGGAGGAACGCTACCCCTATCCCGTCAGACTCGAGGCTCTGTACGAAATCATCGACCAGAGCCCCATGCGAAAGATCGAGAAGATCATCCAGAAGAATTTCGTCCAGAAGTGCAAAGCCGCTGGGGTGGAGGGTCAGGTGGTGGAAGAGGGGGACCACCCGAGGGGCGCGGGGGCAGAAGGCAGGTCCAGCGTGGGCAGTGACAAGAGGAAAGAAGATCCGAGAAGAGCACCCATCCCCCCAACCAGAGAGAGTCGGGTGAAGGTGACAAGGAAACCGGCCACCACCAGAGGGACTGCGCCCCCAGATCCCCCAACCCCAAGGGCCACCACTCCTCCTCTGGCTCCAGTCACCACGGTGACCCGGGCCACATCCGGGCTGGTCACCGGAGCGTCAAGATCGACAACCACCACTACCTTCCCCACCATTCAGAGGCTCTGGCCCACCTGGATGCATGTCTCTTTGGACCCCCGCAAGCCCCCTACCACGGCGGAGGTGACCACTGCCAGGGAACCCTCGGCCTCTGAGAACCTCTCCCCTTCCCCCAGGAAGGAGCAGCACAAGCAGCGGTCACCGAGCACCAGGAGGCCCGGCAAGGCCACCCGCGTGGAGAGCTTCACGGCTGGCCCTGCCACCACCATCTCAGAGCACAGCAGCAGGGGTGGCCCTGGCCGTTTCCGGGACAACCGCACGGACAGGCGGGAGCAGGGCCACCGAGAGCTAATTTTGGTGCCCGGTCCTCTCAAGCCAGCTAAGGGGAAACCGCCGAAAAAGAAGGCCCAGGACAAAGGCTTTAGCAACGAGTATGAGGATAAGCACCACAGCCGGCTTACCACCTCTCATCTGGAGGAGGAGCTGCAGGTGGGCAGCAAGCCCCCTAAGAAAGCCAAAGAGTCCAAAAAGCACGAGAAACCCGACAAGAAAAAGAAGGTAAAGAATGAGAAAGCGGACAAGCTCCTCAAGAGCGAAAAGCCAGCGAAGAAGGACAAGCCAGAGAAGAAGAACAAGCAAGACAAAGAGAAGAGCAAGAAGAAGAAGGCGGATAAAAGCGAGCAGGAGGGCTACCTGAAGCCCCCAGCGAAACTCTTCCCACAGAGCCCCCAAAAGTCAGTGGCTGACCTGCTGGGTTCCTTTGAAGGCAAACGCAGGATCCTCGTAAGTGAATTTTCTCCTGTGTCCTGTTCTGTGGGCTGAGATGGGATGTGCTAATGTTTGGTCTGTTGCTTTCCTTCTAGCCAGCGTGGCACACCTGGGTTACAAATTGTGCTGCTAACTTGCAAAGTCAGCAGTTCCTGACCCGCAGCGTGTGTTAAGACCAGACCAGTTCTCAGGGAAAGGTAGCCAGGCTACCGGCAGGGAGCTTCTATTGGCTTAGATAGAGGGTCGAAGACCCAGTGCGCTCAGGATCATGGTTCTAGGGTATGGAGCCAGTGGCTGGGGGGCTCCCGAGACATGAGAGCAGGCAAGCATCTGTACTCAGCTGCTTCCAAACTCAATAGGCACACCCCATCCTTACTGCCCTCTGCCAAGGTACACAAAGGGGGTTTTCAAAAGTTTGTGGAAAAATGGATTTGGAAGACAATGGAATTTTTCCACCAACCACTTCATATTTCTGGGTACAGCTCTTTTTCCCAAGTTCAAGTAGATAGGAGAATGATAATGTTCTCACATGGATTGCACGTTTCTAGTTGTAACAGCTGCATCCTGAGCATTTGTGTGGGGGAACTGCCAGGGTTCCTCTTCTCTGCCCTAAGTTTTTTCTATCTTCCTATGAAACCCTTAAAAGGCAGGCCACCTTGGTGGGTAATGGGCATGAGTCGGTGTGTGGAAGGAGGTATAAGTTTGCGTGACCCTCATGAGTTACTTGTAAAACAAGCTAACAGGAATAATCTCCCCTCACAGACTACCTCTCCATCACTGCCCAGCTACTTGTGAGAAGCCAAAGGAATGGACGATGGGGCATCAGAGTAATTGCTCCCATTGCCCATACTCCTGAATTGGGAGTCCAGATGTCAGTTTCTCTTGAGTCTTCATAGGATGAACCCTTTAATGTGTGTTCACATGTGTGTATGTATGCACATGCATGTATAAAACAAGAGACAAGCAGTACTTACTTCAGCAATGGCGGTGGTTCTGATCTTGAGCAAGCCACACTCCCTGCCCACCCCCCTACCCCCTCTCTTGGCCATTGCAAGATCTAGTTAAATGTCAGGAGGACTTTGAGCAAAAATAAGCCCTATCCTCAAAGTGAGGGCTCCTTCTTCCTGAGCCTCATGTTCCCTCCGTTTGGTGCTTGACGATTTCTCCTGGCTTCTCGATGCTGTCATTTTACACCTGGCAAACGAGGAGGAAAAGGTGATGAAGCAATTGTCTCAAAGTCAAAAATCAGTTAAGTCAATGCAGCTGCCACTGACAGCAATGTGGGTCTGGAATGGTTCTCTCTGATACCTGGGTGGGTAAAGCCAGCGTGGACCGCTGAAGGCAGCTCCTATCTTCTGAAGGCCCAGAGTGACCCCCGCCCTGCGGTTCCCACGTAAGGTGACCAGATTTTAACATTGGTAAAACCGGACACCATTGACTGGGGGTGGGGTTCCTTGATTAAAATTTTGGTCTATATGGACCAAATAGACTGTTCCCTAGCTTGTCATGCATTCTTTCCAAAAATTGGGACTTTTTAAAAATGCAACGGGACGTTTTAAATTGGGACTGTCCCGCCAAAAGTGGGACCTCTGGTCACCTTAAAAGGAGATAGTTACTCATATCTCAAGACTAGACACCTATGTTTCAGATAGTTTCTTTGAGTGTTTCAATCTGTGCTACGTTTGCATTAGGCCTGTTGCCCGCTGGAATGTTGCATTTGAAATGTTATGAAGCAAAATTTCTTGCAGAATTTATCATGGAATGTCCCAAGAGTCCCTTAGCTACTTACCTACATTAATAGTGAATCTATATATTGGAACGAAGCTAAGGCTTTAGTAGACTCTACAAGTTCATATAGGAACCCTGGTGTCATAATAAGTTAAGAGTTGGGGGGCTAACTGCAAGGTCAGCTGCTCGAAACCATCAGCTGCACCTCAGAAGAAAGATGAATTTCTCTACTTCCACAAACATCTACAGTCTCAGAAACCACAGAAGCAGCTCTATATTGCCCTACAAGGTTGCTATGAGTTGGAAACCAGTTGATGGCAATGAGTTAAAAAGTTAAAGGTGAGTGTGTGTGTGTGTGTGTGTGTGTTCTGTTGTAGTATAACTAGGTGATGATTGTTTTTTGTTTGTTTTCTTTAATACATTTATATGCATCCACTTATGTGTTTTTAGCCAGAGCCTTAAACTATATATTTAGGTTAGCAGAGGATAAACTGTTAGCCTAGTTTAACCACTAGTTGGATGTGCAAAGTCTACACAAACAGAACCCTTCCTGTCCAATTCAAAAGAACCACAGATTTCAAAATAGAACTCTTTCTGGCACTAGAGTGTTCGTTAGGGGAGCTGTGGGGCAAACTGCTCTATATTAGGGAGGGGCAGCCTTAGTGGTGAGTTCTGTGCGGTGCCCCCCTGAGTCCCCGGGGCTGTGTTCAGCATTAAGGACATCACCCAGCCCTGACAATCCAGCCAGCAAGGCAGGCAACTCCTGCTCATGGTTAGAAGTATACAAGGGGGAAAAGTGCATCCGCCTGGCAAATACACCCATTGCCCATAGTTGGTGAATCAAAAGAAAGGAGGTTTCACTACCACTCCCCTCCAGATGAGTTAGGCCGTTTCCCCGCTTCGCCTCATCCCTCCTACAGTAAGGAACCTGAAAGCCCAGCTGGGCCTTTTCTGCTTTTAACTGTGTCCCTGGTCATAAACTTGGAGCAAGTGAAAGTTCGATGACAGCTTCTGCTGATGTCATGTGAGGCGAAGCAGAAACCAGCTGGAATTGCTCTTGGCCCTGTTGGCCTTGGGGGCCAGCAAGAGAGCAAGGTTTGTGAAAAGAAAGCAAGCACCAACAGAAGGCACTGTCGTCTTGTCATCCCCTCCTCAAACATGGGTTTTCTGAAGGGCTAATGGGGAGTGACATAGACATGAAGCTGGGAAAGAGGGAGCAATGGGTGAGGAGAAAAGAGTTTCTGTTTCACCAGATGGGGAGAAAGCCAGTGCTTCTGGGTGAAGGATTGTGGGTGGCATTGATCCTTTCCCAGAGGTGTGGTAGTGCTGTGGGTTAGGTATGGGGTGGCTGACCAAGGCCATTTGTTCAAATCCATCAGCTTCCCTGCTCGAGAGAGATGAGGCTGCCCCTGTAAAATACGTAGTCTCTAGAACTCTATATAGTTTCGCTGTGAGTTAAATGTTACTCAGTGACAACAGCTGCCATTTCAGGTTATCTCAGGTATGGCTGGGAGCCAGTATGGCACACCTGGGTTAAAAATTGTGCTGCTAACTTGCAAAGTCAGTAGTTCACACACACCAGCCAGGGGAAGAAAGATGGAGCTTTCTGCTCCTGAAAAGATGTCCATCCTTGAAACCCCACAGGGGCAGTTGTACTCTGTCCTCTACGGCTCACAGGAGTCAGAATAGACTCGAGGACAGTGAGAGGGTCTGGCTGAGCAGCTTCCTTTAAACATTGCTCTTTCCATCACTACCCGTAAGAAATCATCAGTTTACAACTAATTGCCACAGGCACCATTTTCTGTAGGTATGCGGCTGACTTTTTCTGCTTGCTCTTCCTGGGAAATGCAGCTTAATTGTTCAACTGATATCCATAAAGGGCTGAGCCTATTTTCCTCCAAACGGCCTTAACTTGCCCTAACAAACACAGTTTTACATGAGGTCTGCGTTATGAACAATTATATAAAGACTTTTGGCAACTCCTTTCAGCCATGTAGTAATCTAGATCTTAACTACAATTTATCATAAGCCTCTAGTCCCATGCATCTACTTATTAACATTCTTCAGATGTAAAAAAAAAGTCTATACTAATTTCCTTACCAATTACTTTGAGGCACACTGGTAATGATGGCATGGGTCGTGGTTGAGGGAATCATAGCATACCCAAACCTATTGCCATTGGATTGATTTCAACTCATGGAGACTCTATATAGGGATTCAGATGTAAACCTTGACAGGATCAGACAGCCTCATTTTTCACCTATGGAATGCCTGGTGGATTTGAATCACTGACCTTGTGGTTAACAGTCCAATGCCTACCCAACAGTGCCACTAGGTGGGCCCAGGTGTTCGATTCTTAAATTCAATCCATCAAACCCACTGCTTCTCAAGGGCATATCCTGTAAGGTGTGTGGTTGTCTAAATTCTCAAAAAACCCTATGACAAAGGGCTTTGTAAACCCCATTCTAAAGATTAAAAAATCAAAGGACGGAAAGATTAGAGAGGTTGAAAAATTATCTATATATCTATATATAATAGGCATTAGAATTTCTTCTTTATCGTTTAATTCCATTCTTTCTATGAACTCTGTGAAGCTCTCTCCTATATATAATAATTGGCAGAGTGAGCATTTGCACTAGGGTCAGTTTCAACTCAGTATCTGAACTTGATTTGGAAGAACAGCTCTAACCATCTTGCGTTCTTGTGTGGGTGAACTTCCTGTAGGCCTGTGCTCTGAAGTGAAGGGGACATCTAGATACCATCCTGGGAACAAATCAATTTGCACACTTCAAGATTTATTGTCAGGCTTAGCTTTCTTGGATCAATGGGAAAATATATTGTTAACATTCTGGGCTACAGTGCTGTTAGTGTGGGCCTTTTGCTTTAATATCCTACAAATATGGTAATTGGTATCTCAGATCTCTGACTTTCCCAGCAGCCAGTCAAGGGCAAGAGATTGAATCCCGGTGAACTTAATCTTTCCAATGGCTTGTTTCAGTGTGGGGTTGGTTACACTGAGACTGTAGACAAGCTAGCGAGCTCTTCAGCTGAAAAATCAGCATTTGGGACCCTGAGATCATCTAACCTGTCCATCATGTAGAGGCTTCATAGTTCTGCACTATGTAAATTAAGGTGCATGTTTAAGCAAAGTGAGTCTCCTATAATGCAAGCGGATTGATATTTTCAATCTGACCTCAGGAACCTTAGATCGTAGGATAATAATGTGCTTAATTGGTTTGTTTATTAAAGAGTTTAAAGCTCTGCCTTCGTAGCTTGAAGGTTTCTTT